CTTGAGCCACATCCCCAGCCCACAGATCTCATTCTTAACATAGAGGAGCCAGGCATTGTTGAGAGCCACAGCCAAAGGGGCCCCAGCAAACTTCCAGCTGCCAGCAAACTTCCAGCTGCCAGCTGATGATTGGCTCACAGCGGCCCCAGCAACATCTTGCTGATTGGCTCCTCTGCGGTGATGTTCATTGGGCTGTTTCCCTGCCCTTCAGACTGCCAGCTGATGATTGGCTCACAGCGGCCCCAGCAACATCTAGCTGATTGGCTCCTCCAAGGAGCTGCTCATTGGGCTGTTTCCCTGCCCATTCAGACCACGGAGCTGTTCATTGGGGGACTTCTTTGGCTCCGCCCAAGCGACCCAGCCAATCGGCCTTAAGAGCAGGAGGATTGTGGGAGGTGGGGAGGTTTGTGTGGGTGAGAGGCTTGTGGAAGCCCGTGGTGGCAGTTGGGCTCTAAGGGTTTTTCCTGAGGAGCTGTTTTGCTTGGCGTTTGTAGTTCTAAAAATAAAGTTAGTTTCTTTTGACAAGTGGCTCCTGAATTGTGCCCAGCCAGACTGCGGCAAGGCATCCTCCAGACTCTAGGAAAAATTGAGTGAAGAGAAGTTGCTGGCTGAGCATCAGAAAGGAGCAGTGAACAGGAGGTTAGGAGAGGGAAGTCCTTCTAGAACTAGAATTTCAAAGACTTGATAATTGGGCAAGAATCCAAGCTTGTCCAGTTAACACAAAACCAGGAACACAGATATCTGTTCAAACCATCAATCTTATCTTTAGACACAAAAAAGAAGTTAAAAATGAATTGGTTGAGGGCTGGGGTTGTGGCTCAGTGGCAAAGTGCTTGCCTAGCATATGTGAGGCACTGGGTTCGATTCTCAGCACCACATATAAAGAAATAAAAAATAAAGGTCCATAAACATCTAAAAAATAATAAAAAAGGAAAAAAAATTGGTTGAGGTTTATATTTCTAACTGATCGCATAAAATGAAAAGTAATTCTGATATCTATGTGTTGACTACTTAAAGCAAAACAAAAATGAAAACAAAAAACCACTGGTGCCATTTAGTTGCATTTGAAGTGTGCGCGTGGACACAAGTACATTTATAAGTATGTACAGATTCTATAGATCTTTACATTTTACATTTAACAGGCCATAAGGAGATTTGTAGAGATGCCTTAGAGGTAAGTCCCTTCATTTGTAGATCACCTGTTACTCAGGCCACAGCGTCCTTTACGTTAATATAATGGTTTACAATCACAATCACAGAATAGTCACTTTTTGGCTCTGCTTTTGTACATGCTGTAAGGATGCTAGACTTCCTTATTTTCTCCCAATACTTTTGTGAACCCCCTGAGTACACCTGCCAAGCAGATGAGACGGCTCCACCACCATTTTCCTCCAGTCTGCTCTAGCTCTGGCTCTCTGTAGAGACCCCTTTGTTTCTGTTGAGGATTAAAGGGGCATATGGCCTCCAGTACCTGCCCAAGCACTTGCTGGTAACCCCAGGCACCTGCTCTTGAGGCCATTGAGGGCATATGCTGATGTACTTTCCCTTTCTAAGGATTGCTGGAGTCTTGCCCATCTCGTCATTGCCAAAATTACCATTGCCAATTCCWGTTTCTGCTGAAATATCCTGGTGTTCCAATTCTACTTAAAAAAAAAAAAGATCGAAAATAAAATAAGAGAAACATCTATTTTATATGTGTGATATTTTGTTATAATTTTAAACATACTTTACTTTTAGAATAGTTGTAAATTTACAGAAAAAAATCCAATACAGTACAGAATGTTTCTATATACCTCACATGTAATTTCCCCTATTATTAACATATTAGTATGGAATATTTGTCATTATTAATAAGCCAATGTCAATATGTTATTATTAACTAAAGCCCATATTTTGTTGGGAAGTTTCCTTAATACCCTTTACTTATCCAAGATGGCATCAAAGGTGCTATATTACATTTAGTCACCTTTCCTTAGGCTCCTCTTGGCTGTGACAGTTTCTTTCTTTTTATGATCTTGACAGTTTTGAGGAGTACTGATCAGGTGTTTTATAGAATGTCCTTTGGGGATTTTCTGATGATTTCCCTGTGGTTACATTGGGGCTATGCACTCTAGACGGCAGGAAGACCCACAGAGTTACTGCAGTTCATCATATCCTATCAGGGCTGCATGCTGTCCACATGATCACTATTTTATCACTATTTTTTGGTTTTGTTTTGGGGACTGGGAGTTGAACCCAGGGCTGTTCTATACTGGTACATCCCCAATCCTTTTTCAATTTTATTTTCAGACAGGGCTTCCCTAAGTTGCCCAGGCTGGCCTCCAACTTGTAATCCTCCTGTCTCAGCCTCCCAAGTAGCTGGGGTTACAGGTGTTTCAGAAAGGGAGCAGTGAACAGGAGATTAGGAGAATGCGATCTCCAACTGGCTGACTTAAAACAGATGATGCTAACTTTGCTATTCTGGCTGAGGAAATGTTGGTTAGATTTCTGTACCTTTTCATATTCAACTCTTTGGAAGGAAGTCAACATATACTTAATAAGTAATGAGTTATGCTCAGCTTCCTTGAAGGCAGACATGAATTATTTGGAATCTTTTTGTATAGATTTTTATTTTTTAATGTTTTTGGTGCACTCTAGTTATATATGATACTGGGCTTCATGTTGACATAATTATACATGCATGGAATATAACTGGCTGCATTTCAGTCCCAGGGCTTCCTCTTTCCCTCCTGTCCTTGTCCCCCTGTTCCCTTTTCTCTGTTTCACTGGTCTTTCTTCTATTTATTGACTGATCTTTTTAAATTGGTGTTTCATAGATATGCCTAAGGATGGGATTCACTGTTGTATATTCATATATGTATATTGCATGCTTTGCCAATTTCATTTCACAGTTCCTCCCTCTGCCTACCTTCCTCCCTCCCTCATCAATCTTCTTCCTCTACTCCACTCATCTCCCCTCTATTTTTGTGGGATCTTTTTTTTCTCCTTATTTTGTTCTAGCTTCTGCATATGACAGAAAACATTTAACTCTTGACTTTCTGAGTCCGGTTTATTTCACTTAGTATTATCTTCAGTTCCAACCATTTACAAATGACATAATTTCATTCTTCTTCATGGATGAGTAAAACTCCATTGTGTATATATACTATATTTTCTTTGTTCATTCGTCTGTTTACAGGTACCTGGGCTGGTTCCATAATTGGCTATTGTGAACTGTGCTGTTATAAATACTGATATGCCTATATCACTATAGTATACTGACTTTAGTTCTTTGGGATAAATACCAAGGAGTAGGATACCTGAGTCACATGGTGGTTCTATTCCTAGTCTTTTGAAGAATCTCCACATGGCTTTCCATAGTGGTTGTACTAATTTTCAGTCACATCTACAATGTATGAGTATACATTTTCCACCACATCCTCTCCTGCATTTATTATTATTTGTATTCTTGATGGCTACCATTCTGACTGGAGTGAGATGAAGTTTCATTGTTGTTTTGATTTGCATTTCCCTGATTGCTGGGGATGTTGAACATTTTTTCATCTATTTATTGGACATTTTAATTTCTTCTTTTGAAAAATGTCTGTTTAGTTCTTTTGCCCATTTATTGATTTTTTGGTGTTTTTTTCCAGTTCTTTATATACTATGAATTTTAGTACCCTGTCGGAAGAGTAGCTGGCAAAAATTTTTCTATCATTTTGTAGGCACTCTCTTCATGCTGTTGTTTCCTTTGCATGACACAGATTTTTCTATTCTTTCCTTTTCCATTTAATTACTTACTCTATCACTTATGTGTATCAGTATGGTCTTATGGATAATTAATTTGTACTCTGATTTATAATCCAGTACTTTATTTTGATGCTCAGATTGCCCAGCTTTGGGCAGCTCTTTCGGTTAGAAATTATGTCATCTTCATATACCTCCATCTTTTCCTAACAATTTCTTACATCCTGACACTGCAAGGTGCTCCAGGATCATCTTGTAGAATTCCTGAAATCCCTCCTTGAATCAGCCATTTCTACTTTCTGTATTGGAGCATGGTATTAGAAACTAAGATCTGAGGGTGGAGGGTGTACCTCAGGGCTGGAGCACTTGCCTAGCATGTGTAAGCCCCGGGTTCAATCCTATTAATGTTTGAATATGAGGTGTCCCCCACAGAAGCTCATGTGTCAGGCAATGTAGGAATGTTCAGAAGTGAAATAATTAGATTATGAGCATTGTGACCTCATCAGTGGATTAATCCATTTGATGGGTTAATGTTCTGAATGTATTATTGGGTGGTAACTGTAGTACTGAGGCATGGTTGGAGGAAGTAGGTCATCGGGGGTGTGCCCTTGAACTGTATCCCTCAAGTTCAGAGCAATGGAGCTGGTTGACCACAGACTAAACCTCTAAAACCATGAGCCCAAAATAAACTTTTCCTCCCAGAAGTTGTTCTTGCCAGGCCACTGCAATGAAAATGCTGACCAACACAGAGGAAAGAAAGGAAGGAAGCAAGGAAGCCAGGGAGGAAGGAAAAGTGAAGTGACACTAAGTGTGCTCTTTGCTACTAACAATATGTCCTTTCTTCTGGTCTGTCTTTATGAATATAAGAAGGAAAATATATGTGTGTACCAAGCCCTGTGTATGCACACAGCTATAATTTCTGTATGTGACCATCTGTAACTATGTTAAGTGAAACATGCATTCATTCTGATATCTCCAACTCTAACCCATTACCATGATTCATTCTAGCCTCTTTCCTTTCTTACTGCCATAGTAAGAAACTTGGCTTCCATTATCAACCACTAGTTTTTGTTGTTTTTTTTTTTTTAAGAGAGAGAGAGAGAGAGAGAGAGAGAGAGAGAGAGAGAGAGGAGAATTTTAATATTTATTTTTCAGTTATCA